CCGGTGGGCGGTGGGCACAGCCCCCCGCTGTCCTCCGCGGGCCGTGCCCCCGCCGCTGCTGAGGCACGGAGGAGAATGAGCTCTTGGGGATCTCAGATGGACTTAGCCGATGAGGCTGAAGGGGGGGGGGTTCCCCTCTTCCGCGCATCGGTGTCGGGCGAGAGACATATTTAATCCATATCACATGAGTAAGAGTGCTGTTGATCTGAATATCAGTACAGCTGTGATTGAGCTGCAGCTGATCATGTGACTGATATCCAGCGGTACAGACACACTCTCAAATCACTGTTAGACAACAGAGTAGATCAGATAATTTCAATCTACTTAATGATTTTAACTGTAAAAATAAATAAATAAAAATCTTCATTATAATAACCCTTCCCTCATCAGCTTTACTTACTGAGTTTATCTGACCTGACTGGCATACACTGCCCGATTTTGAGCCGAATTCTGACTCGTGTGACTCTAAAATTTGCGACATTAAATTGTGGTCACCTCTCGTAAGAGTATCACACAGTTGAAGCAGAGCTACGAACCGATTGCCCTGAACTCAGTGCTTTTTCCCTCACCGCTCCTGCACAAAAACAGAAATTAAACCATTTCATCTTTAATGTAGCAAGAAAACGAAAAGAGGAAGATCTTTATAAGTTCAGCTATCAAATAGCTGCAATTTAGTATACTGCTGCTTACCTCCAGTTCACATTGCAGAATGGACAAAACATATATTAACGTCTTCCAAGCCAACTGCACATCTATATACTCTGACTCCTTTTTTATTAATTTACTTAATCATTCATTAATTTATTGATTCACAACGTTATTTAATATTTACTCAATAATATTATTATGGGAAATGTGAACCATTGTCATTTTACAATTGGTGATAATGACAAACATAAAGTAGCCTAATTGAAATAGTTACACTAAATATTACATTTTAAATAGGGTAACTTGTAATCTGTAACCTATTACAGAATTGTGAGATGTAAACTTGCAATAGTGAAGGGGAAAAGTCAGAATTGTGAGAAAATGCCACAATTACCTTTTTTTTTTATTTGTATTCCGTGGTGGAAATGGGCTTCCATACAAAACTGGACAGGATTTTTATGTGATGTGGGGTATTAACAACAACAACAACAGACGTTTACCATGAGAAATGCTAAGCAGTTGTTGCAATTAGCTTATTCTAAAATGCTACAAATAGCATTTTTCTGCCTTGTTATATGATCAGAATCCATATCAGATCACAATTGGAAGTTATTAAAAACACTTGATTGTCGTTTACAGTGAGTCTTAAGAAAAAGCGTGTAACATGATGCTAATTTGATATAATACACCTTTTGCCCATTTGTGATTATATTTCATGATGTCTGTTGTCAAACAATTTATGTAAGATCTTAAAAAAATAATTTAATTTAATTTTATAGAAAGACTTTTGATAATAGGTGGTTATAATGTGTCAAAATCAAAGGGATGTGGGTGGGCAAGCCTTGTAATTAAAGAGTGCATCATGCTGCTTACATTTGATAATGATGTTCCTGTCATCTTTTATCACAACGAAATCAAAGTAAAGGAAATATTTCCAGATGCTAAATGTACGTTTTTCTATCTTCCAAGCTAGAAGTGTTGTAAGTGATATTATGAAGATTTAGTTGGAGTTGAGGCAACAAATCAAGAAGTGGATTTGAAACATTTTTTTATTTACTGCAATCAAATAAAGAAGGGCATTATTTTACATTTATCCTTCAAATCAACTCTTTTAAGCATGCATTACTAATATCAAAAGTTCAATAAATGGAAAAAAAACCCAAAACATTTTCGTCACTTGCGGACGTGCGTTCACGACAGTACCATGGCGTGAGCGTGTGGCGGCGCTGACCCAGATCAAGCGTAATGACGTGAACGCGCATCCACAAGTGACACAGTAGAGATGAAGCTGTGGAATAAAGTTGTTATTTTGGTTTTCTTTCCGCAAAAAAAGTATTATCAAAGCTTCATAACTTTACAGTTGAACCACTGATGTCACACGGACTAC